CTCAATAAATACCTGTCGAATGGACAGATTTGACCACATAAAAATTAGGAAGTGCTACATTAGGAGACACAATAAACAAATTTGAGAAGACAAATGATGGTCTGGGAGGAAAAAAAAGAATTAGCTTGAACTATATAAAATTCCCACGGAGGGATGTGTCAAAAATCGTTGAATATTAGCAATTTCATGTGGTTTGACCTAATATTTTTAACACATAGCAGATGAAAAATGAATATATCTAATCCACATAAAGCTCTTACAAAACAAGACCAACAGTCCAATAGAAAAAACTGGATAGGACTTCCCTGGTGGCGCAATGGTTAAAACTCCGCCTGCCAATGCAGGGGACATGGGTTTGATCCCTGGTCTGGGAAGACCCCACATGCCACAGAGCGACTAAGCCCGTGCACCACAACTACTGAGCCTGCACTCTAGAGCCCACGAGCTACAATTACTGAGCCCACGTGCCACAACTACCGAAGCCCACACGCCCTAGAGTCCAGGCGTGGCAACTGCTGAGCCCTGTGCTTCAACTACTGAAGCCTGTGCACCTAGAACCCGTGCTCCTCAACAAGAGAAGCCACCGCAATGAGAAGCCCACACACCGCAACGAAGAGTAGCCCCCGCTCGCCGCAACTAGAGAAAGCCCGCGTGCAGCAACAAAGACCCAACGAAGCCAAAAATAAATAAATAAATAAAGTTATTTTTTAAAAAACGATGAAACTGGATAAAAGAATTTTTTTTCTTTTAAGCCTACAGCACCTGGTATTCCCAGGCGGTCCCCCATCCAGGTACTAACTGGGCCCAACCCTGCTTAGCTTCCGAGATCAGACGACATCGGACACATTCAGGGTGGTATGGCCATAGACTGGATAAAAGATCTGAACAAGCAGACGACAAAAGAAACAAATGCTAATACACAAAAGAAAAGATAAACCACCTCACTGATGAGCAAGTGGAAATAAAAATTGAAACACAAACCATGGTTTATTTGCCAAATTGGTGAAACACAGACTAAAATACCCAGTTTTGCTAAGGATGTGAAGAGTGCACCCAAACATTAGTGGTTGGAGTATAAACTGCTGGAAACCTTTTTGCAGTGTAATTTTGGAGTGGTACCTATTTGGCATGCTTTTAGGACTAGTAATTTCCGTTCTATGGGCTCTCTTTCAGGGAAACATGTATTTTAACACGAATGCGTAAGAAAATATGTACAAGGATATTCATTGAAATGTTCTTTATAATAGCTAAAAATTGTAGATTATTTAAATGTCCTATTATAAAAGAATTGTTTACTATAGTAAAATTTGATGAAAGTAATTGCTGAAAGTGATGCGGTAGATCCATATGTCCAAACTTGGAAAGCTGGCCAGATATTTGTGAATGAAAACAAGCAAGATAGAGAAAAGTATGAATAAGTTCGATCCCAGTTTTCTGGATACAACAAAGAAAAATAATATATGCAGCTCTATCCACACACAGGAAAAGGACTGGAAAAATACACACCAAGAGGTCAATAGTAGTTATCTCTGGTGATGGGGGGGGGGGGTAGCAGTGAGGTAATAAAAATTCTATATTGTTTTTATTTTTTTAAATAAATTTATTTAATTATTTGTTTGTTTTTGGCTGCGTTGGGTCTTCGTTGCTGTGCGCGGGCTTTCTCTAGTTGCGGTGAGCGAGGGCTGCTCTTTGTTGTGGTGTGCGGGCTTCTCAGTGCAGTGGCTTCTCTTCGTTGCGGAGCACAGGCTCTAGGCACGCGGGCTTCAGTAATTGTGGCATGCGGGCTCAGTAGTTGTGGCTCACGGGCTCTAGAGCGCAGGCTCGGTAGTTGTGGCACACAGGCTTAGCTGCTCCGCAGCATGTGGGATCTTCCCAGGCCAGGGCTCGAACCCGTGTCCCCTGCATTGGCGGGTGGATTCTTAACCACTGCGCCACCGGGGAAGTCCTTGATTTTTTAAAATGAGTATGTACCTCTACTGTTTTTTTTTTTTTTTTTAAGAAAAGGAGCAATAAGAAATGTGCTGCCTGCTTTGGAGCAGGGAATGTAGAAGAGGGAGCCACTAAGTTGAGATACCACCAATCTCTAAGTTGGTGCTATCTCTAAGTTGAGATACCACCAATTCTTATAAAGAGCACAGGTATTTAGGTCAAAAGACCTAGGTTTGAGTTTGGGAAGCTCATTTAAAATAGGTTGATACATCTACCTTAAAGAGATATTGGGGGCTACTAAATGAAATCAGGTAAGTCAAAGTACTTTGCAAACGGTAAAGTGCTTTAAAAAATCAGGGTTATATTACTGGTTGGCCTGGCAAGTCCTAGTTTGAAAACTGGAAAAATAAGGGTTAAACGTACAAACTCCTAAGGAAAAGAGACATGGATAGGAACTGATAGATTAAGAGAGACTTAAGAGACATATCAACCAATTAGTAGAATGTGTGGACCTGATTTGAACCCTGATTCAAACAAACTATTAAATATATTTATGGGAATCAAGAAAATTTGAATAGTGTTATATATTAGATTATATTAAGGACCTATTAAAACTTTTTAGATGTAATAATTGCATTACAGCTGTGAGTTTCTTTAATCTTTATCTTCAAAAGGTACATATGGAAATATTTATGGATGAAATTATATGGTGCTTGACATTGAGATTTGCTTACTCACAAAGATGAGTGGGTGAAGAATGGACAGAGTTATGAAGTTGCGTGGCAGGTATATAAGGATTTATGGTATTATTTTTTCTACTTGTACATATGCTTGAAACTGAAAAGTTTCTGTAAAAAAAGAATGGGCCCCGCCTTCCTAGTTCTAGGAGGAGGTACCAAACACCCACCTGAAGTCTGCTGCAGAGGTGAAACTGAGTACAGCCTTGCCAAGAAAGGCTTCCTTGCTGAGGAGGGGCAGAGAAGCCCACGTTTCACTGTGTAAACGCTGTGGGTCAGCAGTGGTTTCACTGGTCAGCAGGTGAGACTGACAAACCAAACACCCAGATCAGAATGCAGTCATATCTATCAAAGAAAGGCAGAGTGGACTTTCCTGGTGGTGCAGTGGTTAAGAATCTGCCTGCCAATGCAGGGGACACAGGTTTGAGCCCTGGTCTGGAAAGATCCCACATGTCGCAGAGCAACTAAGCCCGTGCGCCACAACTACTGAGCCTGCGCTCTAGAGCCCTCGAGCCACGACTACTGAGCCCATGAGCCACAACTACTGAAGCCCACACGCCTAGAGCCCGTGCTCCGCAACAAGAGAAGCCACCGCAATGAGAAGCCCGCGCACCACAACGAAAAGTAGCCCCTGCTCATTGCAACTAGAAAAAGCCCGTGCACAGCAACAAAGACCCAATGCAGCCAAAAATAAATAAATAAATAAATTTATTAAAAAACAAAAGAGAAAGGCACAGTGCTTGGTGGGGCTACTGGTAGCAATGGGACGGGCGCCTATAGAAGGTAAAGGAAAATGTGGTACAAAATATAAATGACAGCTAACAAGATAGTTAATATCCAATTAGAACTGCAGCTGCTGAGGATTTCCCTTAATTGGCATAAAACTGGCAATGCCAGCGTTCAGACCTCAAATGTAGATTAATGAATGGATTAATACCTTCCTAGGCTCATCCTTGAATACCATTTCAGAAAAGTACTACTGCAAGAATCAACCCCCAAATCCCAACAGACCAGCTGCATCGCTCTTTAATAAAGTTAAACCACACAGAATTAAGGTGCCTCTGAAAACTGACCTATTAATGTGAGGGGAAAATGAAAGTCTCCAGCAAAAGCTTTATTTATATGCTTTTGCTTAGGGTCACTGGACAGAGTGGACAAGAGTGTGACCTTCCACCCTTACTGCCAGTTCTGCCCTGGCTGCTGTCACTTAAGGGGAACAAGGAATGGCATCATTAGGTTGCCTTACGTTTTGAGTAATGAAAAATAAAAAAGGCTGCCTCATGAAAGACCAAAACACCACGCCTTTGAGTCCCACCAGAAAACCTGAATGGGAAGGATCAAGTGAGACATTTCTTATGTCCTCCCCCTCCAAGGGGCTCCACTCCAGTCCCCTTCTCATTACCATCCTACCCCCTGCAATGGCTTTCTATGAAAAGAATAACCCACCACCCTCAGAGTCTGAAGAAGAGGGTTCTGGTCCTAGCCCTGCCACTAATAAGCAGGCAGGGAATCTCACAATCCATCTGTGAAATGAGGGGAGTAGACGGATAGTTTTCTAAAATCCTTTTCAATGTTCTTGTTCCCACATGAACTTCTCTTTGACTAAGAGAACAAAGCATCAGGCCATGACAGATAGGTTTTCCTATGAGTCTTGAAGCACAAGTGACTGAGGAAACCAAAAAAGTGGAGGATGCTCGATGCCTTTTAAGACTCTGCCTGATTTAGGCCTGGCTGGAGCAGGTGGCTGCAGCTGTAAGAAAACCTAACTGCTGCCGTGACAGCGAATCACTCTGTTCAAAGTGACAAGAGCCCAGTGGGGTAAGAGGTGAAGAAAGAGGAGGAGAAACCAAGGTCCCAGAGCTCTCCTTGGCCCATTCCATTACCTCCAGTGTGAGCTGGATTCTGGCACCTTCCCCGCTCTATACGTCCACATCCTGCTCCTAAGATACAGCATGTGAACTGAAGTGTGAAGGCCTAATGTATAATCTAAAATTCCAGCTTTCACAGATGAGGGCCTGCATTTGAGACGAGTTCAAAATAATCCAAAAGGAACCTCAGCCAAACCATCACACCATCTGTTTATGGCAGAACATAAATATATCAATTTGGTCATTCTTTGGCAAAGGTCTTCTTAGGTGAGATCTGTGACCATCTCGAGAGAGAAATTCCTGGCTGCTGCTGCAGCTGCTGTTAAAAGAGGTTTAGCTGTGTATTCTAAAGCCACCATCTTTTTTTCAGCAAGACGTGCCCACTGGCTGCACTCTTGGGAAAAACAAACAGACCACAGATAAGAAAGAGCAATAGCTTGTTCAACTTGGTACTCATGCTTCTTACCGACATATTCTGAGAGGAAGACGACAAAGAACGGAGTGACCAGGTCATTAATTCCTTGGACATACCCACTGGCAGGGTGTCGGATGGCCCAAATAAATAGAATTCTTTCGAAGATCTAGGAAAATGAGAAAAAAAGACGACATGATGTTAAATCACGGGGATATTCTCCCTCCCTCCATTTACCTACCTCACAATTTAACTCAGCGTTGCTACAGAATTTGTAGAAAAAATTTTAAAATACTGTGGACAAAGGCAGTCTACAAATATAAAAAGTTTCTAAGACACTAACTGTTTTTAAACAGGGGTAGGTGCTTCTTGCCCTTTCTCTTTTCAGTATTCAGCCAACGTGATATAAAATTGGGAAACGCAAAGGAGAGTGACACAAATGGCTTAGAAAAAGGTTTGCTGTGGATGTCATTAATTCAGGCCACCATGCTCATTTGTAGATGCTGTTTCTCTATTTCCAGGAGCAAGATATCAGAATATCTAAGTTCTGATACATTTTCTAAATCTCTTTCGGTCATTACAGGATTTAAAGAGGAAATGCCTTCTTTACCACACTCCCCTTTCTCCCTGCTGAGACGGAAGGAGATCTAGATCTGGATTTAGTTCTAACCCAGCTTGACTAGGAACCAGTGACAGACTCTAAATGCAGGAAGTCATTTCACATATCAGGATGCAACCCAGACGTTTACTGGGGACAGGAAGTCAAATAAATCAAATCCTATGGACTCCTCCAGCCAGGAACTTGAGAACAGAGAAGTCAGCCAGGGCCTCCATGGGGAAAGCCTCTGGGGTTAAGTACATTAGCCACAAGAGGCCAGAGGACTAGACTGGGGAGAAAGAAAAAATCTTTTTTTGGCCGCACTGCACAGCACGCAGGATCTTAATTCCCCAACCAGGGATCGAATCCGTGCCCCCTGAAGTGGAAGCACGGAGTCCTAACCACTGGACCACCAGGGATGTCCCTGAAAAGATCTTTATGGTCCTTTTACAGAGTCCGGCCCTGTCGCACTCTGTTACACTCCTCTCTGTTTTCACTATGCCCTTGGAGCTTTTCCCCTGTCTTCTCTCAGCTTGCTGACACTCATCCCCTGGCTTCATCCTGCTGACCACAACTCCTGGGCCCAATACATTCCTTAGACAGGCTGCGACTGGGCTGCCTCAGGTCTCTGAACCACACCAGAGGGATGACAGAGGTGGTAATGACTACATGCGGAGGGACAGGAGATTTGGGGCCTCCACAGCACCTGGCTCTGCAGAGCCCAGAGTCAGTCAGCTCTGCGGGCAAATTGAAGAGGCCCTCTCGGAGGTCAGGTGCAAGGGAGAAAAAACCTCCCATGGGGAAAAGTAAAAAGGAAGTGGTGGTATGGTTTTGGAGTTGGTTAGCCAATGTAGGAGAGACGTGGAGAAACTAGACACAATAAAGGATGTTTCCCAGCCCTTGTGTTGAGTCTGCCTTCCAGCTGGCAGAGACAGCCAAGAAATACTCCCACCATCAACACCCCTGCCCTCGCAGGCAGTGAGAGCAAAGCCCAGCCTGGAAGGAGCTGGCCTCTGCCTCCACTACATGGGCCCACTTGCTCCCCGGGGCTGAGGGAAGGGTGTGGCATTCTCATTGGTGTTAGGCCCAACACTCCAATGGGACCCCTCTTACATTCTTTGCTGCTAAATACCCTCCTCCCTCCCTTGAAACTGTGGCTGAAGCTAGACCCACCAGGAAGATCTCAAGAGTTCCCTGCTCCACTCTGTCTCCTCACAGCTCCTGTGGCCTGTGTCTGTCTGGATGTCTCTGTTAAAAGCTCTTCCAGATCAATCCTTCTGAAGGACTTATCAGGGCTTCTACTTCACACCATCAGCTCCTTGTGAATACACAAATCCCTGGTGACTGGCTTAAACAATGGCCAAGCGCAGGGAAGCTAACCATTCAGAATCAGGAGACCTGCAATAATCCCTCTCTAGTAAGGATGGGACAGTGCAGACACTGTACTCACACTGTACAAGTGAAAATGCCAAAGAGATGGCAGTAGATGAGCACCAAGCCTGGTTACCAGGGGAGACCATGGAATCTTCCCTACAGAAGAAGCCTGGGACAATCTTGTCTACCTCTGAGACACCTCTTCTACTAGTGTGGGTAATTCTCACTTACTATAGTCAATTCTCAAGTATCTTTAGGTTTATAAAACGAGTTTTTCAATATTCAATGTTACTTAATTTATCCTGTTTATGATAACTACAGTCTGCTAGATGGAAAGGTGATTCAAGAAAAATTGGGAAGACTACAGTTTGAATTTCTTTCTCTGTAGGCAGGTTCCACTACTAGGAGAAGCCTTTTAAATAAACTACTTTCCCTGTCTCCAAATTTAAAGTAACCACGCACAGGTAAGAGAGAAGAATCGGAACATCTTCAAGTTAAAATGAGGAATAAGCAGGGCTGAGCCATGGGAAACTGAACGGGAGACACAAAGGGATCCCGGGCGGCTTTCAGCTTCCTTTGAGCTGACTCTTACAGGTAAAATAATGGTGTCACCCTCAAAATCTTCTTTATGCTAGTGGTAAGTTATGAGGGATCCCATCAGTAGACACATCTATATTTAAACGGAGTTATGAGTATAATCTAAAGTCAAACAGAAATTATTTTGAGCATTTTTTATCACGTTTTCTCTATTATGAGGATGAGTGAAAATATAATTCAAAGAGCACTTACATCCAGTATCCTAGCTACTATGAAGCTGCAAAGGAAATCCCTAATCTTGAGGAGTTTATATCAATACTTACTGCTTGGTCAAAACATTAACAGTCCCACTGAAACCTTTCATGTGCTTTGCCAACTTGTTAGGTCTCAACATATCACTACTAATTGACTTCTGGGTAGGTATCCGAAAGAATCTAAAACAGGGACTCAGATATTTGCACACCCACGTTCACAGCAGCATTACTCACAATACCCCAAAGGTGGAAGCAACTCAAGTGTCCACTGACAGATGGCAGATCAACAATATGTCTTATACAAATATAATGGAATATCATTCAGTCTTAAAAAGGAAGGAAGGGGGGCTTCCCTGGTGGCGCAGTGGTTGAGAGTCCGCCTGCCGATGCAGGGGACACGGGTTCGTGCCCCGGTCCGGGAAGATCCCACATGCCACAGAGCGGCTGGGCCCGTGAGCCACGGCCGCTGAGCCTGCGCATCCGGAGCCTGTGCTCCGCAACGGGAGAGGCCACAACAGTGAGAGGCCCGCGTACCGCAAAAAAAAAAGGGAAGGAAGGGGACTTCCCTGGTGGTCCAGTGGTTAAGACTCTGTGCTTCCTATGCAGGGGGCACAGGTTCGATCCCTGGTTGGGGAACTAGGATCCCACATGCCGCGCGGTGCGGCCAAGAAAATAAATAAATAAAAATAAAAAGGAAGGAAATTCTGACACATGCTACAACATGGATGAACCTTGAAGATATTATGCTAAGTGAAACAAGCCAGTCACAAAAGGACAAATACTGTATGATCCCACTTATTTGAGGTACCTGGAATAGTCAAATTCATAGACACAGAAAGTTGCTGGGGGATGGAAAGTTATTGTTTCATGTGTACAGAGCTTCAGTCTGGGAAGATGAAAAAAAGTTGTAGAGATGGATTGTGGTAATGGTTGAACAACAATATGAGTGTACTTAATGTCACTGAACTGTACACTTAAAAATGGTTAAAATGGTAAATTTTGTTACGTATGTTTTCTACACACACACACACACACCGCTACCAGCTAGATAAAGCAGAGCAAACACAGGACTAGGAATTCTAGGGTGTAGTTTCTGTCTTCATTCTGTCACCAGGTAGACTCAAGATGCTAGGCAAGTCCCTCAGCCTCTCAAAGTGCTACTCAGCCCACAGGTTTGTTATGAGGATTGAATGAGAATGCATAAGAAAGTGCTCTGAAAGGACCAAAGCTCCATATGGGAACACAAGGTACTATCACGATTAGCCTTAAACCTGCCCATGCCTGGAGGGAGGGCTAAGCACACATCCACACAGATGGTGCCACAGAAGGATGGGGGGAGGAGGACTGAGAATGTTGAGCACTTCCCTCACCTCCTGTACAAGTGGTTGCTGGAACAATGGAATGAGAGGATTCGTCCTTGGAATGTCGATGTGAATCTGAAAAAGAGAAGCCGCATCCAAAAACACAAATGCCAGTTGTTCTTCTGAGAAGTCATTTTCTTAGGAACCGGAAATCAAGGGAGTAAGAGTGAGAGCACAATTTATCTTTAGGAAGAATTGACTGACATACAAAAATAGTCTAGTTAAACCTACCTACCTGTGCATCTGGAATACGTTCCCGTGACAGCAATAGCTTTTTGAACAGTGAGGAAACCTTCCCAAATAAACCACTTACACCAAACAGCAATAGGCTTCACAACTTAAGAGAATCACCCGCTTTTTTCCTGTTGTCTGGAATCTGTTTTACTCTGGGCTGCTACTTATTTAACAGGTATGATCAAAATGTGTATGTCTCTTTCAGATTCTTACTCAACAGTTCCCAAGAAGTAAAAGAGCTCTGAAAGCTGCAAAAACATGCCAGGATAGAGAACTAGAGGGAGCTGGCCTTTAATAGCTGGCACTGAAAGTTCTGACTTCTGTTACCAAAGAAGTCATGCTGATCGGTTTTGGCTTCGGGACTTCCCAAATGTCTAACAATCCTAAGGACTGTGTCAATAGCCGCAGAGGCTACTTCAATTCTTGGAGCTTGTTGTAGGCAGTTGCCTCCCCCAGTATTTTCCCCTCTGCAACCACGAGACTCCCCTTCACACCCTCCACCTTTCTGCAGGCTGTGGGGACCACTATGCGCAATGATAGAACACTCCCTGCTAAGGCTGCTGATGGCTACGGCTCCTGCAGACAGAAAAACATGGTTGCTAAAGAGGCACTGCAGCTGCCAGAAGGACACACTGATGTCACAGTCCAGAGGGATGGACCACAGAGTGAACTCACCTTTCAGCTTGTGTCCCATAACCCTTACTACTCTCTGTGTGGTCTGTGGACCAGCAGCAGGTGGCATCACCTGGGAGCTCATTAGAAGTGAAGGTCTCACCCCAGGCCTCCTGAATTAGAATCTGCATTTTACCATAATCCCTAGTTGGGATTTTATCATAATCCTAGATGATGTGTACGCACATTAAAGTCAGAGAAGCACTGCCACTGACCAGGACCCCCCAGAATCTATCTATTTAAAATGGCTAAGATAAGAGCTACTGAATTAGAAAGAAGGGAAGTAGTTCTGGGAATAAATTTAATTCCTAACCAGCACACTGTAGCCTGAAGACTTGGAAAACTCGCACCCCAAGAGCACTTCCAGGAGCCACACCTTAAGATTATGACTAGTGAGCAAAAGGGCAGCAGGCGATGACTGTACCTGTCTGTAGGTATCCTGGTGATGTTCCTCATTTCGAGAGTCATAATACTGTTCAATGAAGCCAAAATACTCCTCCCGCTTCCGCTGCAAGGTCAACTTCCTCCTCTCGGTGTTTGCTGGGAGATAGCCCTGTAGACAGGACTGCTAGTCAGATGGGGACAGGCACTGGTTGGATGAATCCTTAATTTTTATTTTAGCCTGAGCAGTGGCTTGGAAACTATCAAAGGAACCGAAAGAAAGCTGCCAAGACACAGGCGTAAATCCCATCTTGGTTCTGGCCACCCAGTGTTTGCCCTCTCCTCATTCAATGAGATGCACATGTGGGCAGATGAAGCACGGCCAACCAGGGTTATTTACCCCTGCACCCCCTGCACTGCGCTAGGAGCGGGTACTACTGGAGCACTGCGGAGCTCCGGAGCTGGCAACAGTAGAGAAGCGAATGTAGGTCAGTAGGAGGGAACTGGACCCGAGTCAGGACCTCCTGGGGCTGCGTGTGCACGAGGCAAACCTTCCCAGGGTCACGGGGAGGTGGCCACCTCTGTGGCATATCTCAGTGGTGTGCCACGGGAGTTGGTGCCGGTTACACATTCTTTTCTACGGTAACATTCAGAATTACCAGCTTAGGAACCTGAATGGAATCTGTGACACAGCAGCTGCAACGTCCAGACACAGAACTGCTGGCAGCAGCCCCCCTCCTGGCCCCAGCTCCAGGCCAACTTACATTCTTATCCCTGGTCTAGATCCCACTCTCAATTCTTACATCTCCTGTTCCCCTCCCATTCTCACCACATCTACTTCTAATAGCATTCAAACTTAGAAGAAGCAGGGGCAATGATTACACGGCTGCAAGACCAGGGGTGGGGGCAGTCAGGAGAGAGCCGTCCTCTTGCAGGCAGCTAAGGGATACATTCCATAGCGAGCGAGCGAGCAAGCGCCTGGAGAGCAGGGGCTGTGCCGTCTTCACTTCCCTATATCCTCACAGCACCTGGCACCATGCCTGGCGAACAGCAGGCCCTCAATAAATCCTTACAGGATTTATTGAACGAATGAATGAATTTTACAGGCTCAGGAAATCAAAGTGTTCGTATCACAGTGACAGGCACAGTGCTCCGTTACTTAGTGAAAGTGGGACTAGTGCAGGCTTCTGAGGCAGGCCCGTTTATCAACTCTTCACAGTTGCAAAGTGGGTTTCAACCACCTTGGTTATTCCTACTGAAAACGGAGGGAAGCCCAGGGAATGTGGGAGCCTGTTCAAACAAGTGCTGGCTCACCCCGCCTCACTGTATTCTTCCTCCTCGGTGCTGAGAAGGCGAGATCAGGACTATAGGCACAAATGTGTGCTCTTCTACATGTGTGGGAATAAACTCTCAAGAATGTGTTTCTTTATGCAAAGCAATAGGACTACGGTCCCACAGGTCTGCCACATCCGGTAGGACTAGAGAAGTCTACGGTGCAAGACTTATGTGACCAGACTAACCTCAGCAGGTAAGAAGGGCTGTGTGAGGCTCACGCTTCTCTACACAGTGGGTAGAACTCACCGACAGGAGTCTCCAGGTTACAGGCCGAACCTCCCTGGGAACCCCTGGCCAGCTACACTTCCTCAGTTCATCTGCAAATAGATAAAGGCTTTGTTGGATTTAGCCCTTCCCACAGATGCCCTAAGACAAGCCTCAGCCAGCGCTGCCTGGTGCCTCCCACCGTTCCAGTAGGACGATTGCCATCGCCACCGCCACCACTGCCGCTGCCACCACCGCCACCAGCTACCGATAAGCACAGGGAAAAAGCCCAAACACAGCCCTGAGCAGCAAAGTGCTCTGCAGCAGTGATCCAGTCAGCTCAGAGATTAGAGTTAGAGGGGAAGAGAAAGGCCAGTAGGTGTGGATTTCAGTAAGAATCACCTGGAGGTAGGGGAGACCAAAGCCAGAATAGCTACAGGACACAGAATCCAGTCCCACCTAATTTGGTCCCTAATTCCTAGTAACATATTTCTGACTTAATACCTGCATGTCACTTCAATGGGCACCAGATCAGGAGATGCTGGAAAAGTAAAAGAAGGAAGAATAAAGAGCAATAGCTTCCAGGTCTCTGAGAATTCCAGTCACCAAGAGGTCCTAGCTTTTGCCCAGGGCTCACGGGGACTCACCTAAGTCGGTGTTGTGGCTGGAGAGGAGCTGACGGAATTTTTCTAGGCGGGTTTTCTCCCGGACAGTCATGGGGGGTGCCCCAGAAGCGTTCTGGTCCGAGATCCGGGCAACAAGGGGGATGATGGGTCGGAGAGGGAGTGACTGCTGTTTGTGGAGTGGGTTCCTCAGGCATGTGTCACCTGAGATAATTTGAAAGAGAAAGAGAACAAGCTGTGTGAAGAGCACAGATTCCGAGAAACCTTAAACCCGACTGTTGAGCACTGGTCTCCTCCACCAGAGCTGCGGCTTCATGGTTTGTGCGCTGCCTGAAGGTGCTCGGTGTGGAGCGGCCAGGGGATGGAAACCCAGCTGCGCTCCATTCATCCGCCCAGGGGAAGGGCTGCGTTTTTATCATACATACCAAGGCACCTTATGTGCAAACAGAGACTCCAGCTGCGGTAGCAAATTTGACAACATTTTTTTGTGACTTCAGAGGAAAATCAATTGTTTTCTTTCTACCCCAACCTGGAACTTTTCTTGGTGCCTAATAGCAAGTTTTGGGGCAACGCAGTCAAAGGCAGTGCTTGCCTTCCTTTTCCACGTCACAGAGCACAGAGAAAATGACACTGTAAAGCACACCGCAATGAAAGGAGGTGGCTGCTCTCCCGAAGCCCCAGCCCTAGCCAGCTGCCCCAAGGGCTGAGAGGGTCAATACCTCTGGCACAACTCTCACCTGTTCTTGGCCCATTAGTTGTGCTCTGCACACAGGTGAGAGGCTCTGGCCTAAGGCAGGCTCCTCTGTGCTTGCATATTTCTCACCAGCCAATCACATTTCTCTAATTGAAATAACAGGAACACAGACTCAAGCTGAACTCTGTGTCCAGTTCTAGGCACTTCTAAACTAGATCGTAGGTAGGAGAAATGAGCAGTATAGGACTAACATTTATTGAATGCTTATTAAGGCATTATGCTCGTCACAGTTACATATGACCTCTCATTTGATACTTACAACGTACGGTAGGAATTTATCACTATTTTAGAGATTAGGAAACTGTAGCTCAGAGAGGTTAAGTAATTTGCAAGAGAGAGCTGAGATACCACCTTAGGTCTGCCTGACTCCAAAACCCTTATTTATTTTACTACCCCAGATGAAACTCAGTTTTAAATTCTGACTGTCCTTTCATGACTGTTTCATATTCTTTACATATTAGGGCCTTAAAAAGTAGTAGTCACAACAAGAATAAAACAGTGAATACTCATCAACCAGCATGACAAGAAGGTTTACAGAAACAAGTGCCACGGAGTACTTGGCTTGGATGCCTAGTGTAACACGGGGCCTAGGAAACGCAGACCACACGCTGCAGAGCTCAGACCAGCGTGCATTTTCGGAATCAGTGACTGACAGACAGATGCTCCCAGGAGGGAACCTCGTAACAGGAATGCTCTGGGCAGTCCTGGCTGCACAAGGGCAGCTTATCAGGGATTGTGGTGGGGCCTTCCCTCACACTGGGACCCTGTGGAGACCCTCAATCACGTGTGAAGACACTTTCCACAGCCTGTAGCTGTGGCCACCCGGTCAATGGACACTGAATGCCTGTCCTGGGCACGTCATTGAAGGTTCGAGCTGAGGCCCGAATCAGCCACGGAAAGTGACTATGGAATGATTTTAAAGGCCTTTCAGCCTAATTTCCTGACCACAACCTTAGTCTGAAACTGTAAAAGAAGTTCTCTTAGAACATGAGCCAGGACACGCGCCAGGGCTCTGACATTCTACTTTCTTTTCATCCTTTACCAGTCAGCTGTTTTAACTTTCACTAGCTTGAGGGCACTTCCCCCTCCGGCTCAGAATAACTTGCTTCCATAAAACCCTTCAGGGCAACATTAAATACAGCAACGGATATTTAAAAGAGCACACCGAGCATCCCCAAACATCTGATAAAACCATCATCATCTCAACCAGTTACTGCTGCCAGTTTCCTGAAAAGAAAGGGCATCTCCTCCCGCCCCACCCAACCTGGTGGGCAGGGAGCCGTGACACAGGGACTCCGTCCCTCAGGAACAGCAAAAAAGACAACCTATGCTAGTGGCTGTTGCCCACAGCTGAGGAGGTCAACCAACAGTGCCAAACATTTGTGAAATTCGGCCACTAACAACTGTAACTACATATAGTCAATAGTCTTCAACCTGACCAGGCCTAAAGCAATGTGAAGCAACCAAACCACAGACGTTTTGGACCCCACCACAGGTAAAGGAAGAAGAGAATGGCAGGCAACACTCAGGTGTCCGGAAGTGAAACCCCGGGTCCCAGGGCCAGGCAGCCATCCAGGTGGGAGGAGTAAGTACAGCTCAGGACCAGTTAGGCTCACTGATGTCCCTCAGGCTTGAGCTCGCCTATTTATCACCCAGTGGAAGATCGGAGGGAGGCCCTAAAAAAACCTGTTTCTATTTAAAATGCACTCTGTTGAAGAGGCTGAGCCTAAGGAGGGGAGCTGGACAGACTTACTGGAATTTCTGGACAGCTGGGCGTCACTGCTGGACTTTATAACCTTGTAGCCGGCGGGGACTTCGGATGTCGTCGACTGGGACCGCTCTGGTTTCACCCTCAGCTTGCTATGGTTCTCTAGCACTTGGGCAGCAGTTGCCAAAGCAACTTTTGAGTTCAGAGTTTGGAAAGGAGGGGAGGAAAAGTCCTCTTCCTCGTCATCGCCAATGTCCCAAGCATCACTGGTGTTCCGGGCAAACTCATGAAAACTGGAGGCCTTCTTATTCTTCAGAGGAACCGTGCTGACTTTTGACCGCTCTTTAATGAAGCTTTAAGAAAGGAGACACCGTTACGAAGGAATGGTCTGACACAGCTGACCCTCTCACTTGCTTAATATAATATTAAGAGTATTATAAACTATCTCATGCACAATCATTACCTTCTTCAAACAAAAAATACCCATTTCCATTCCTCATCTGATGCATCCAGACCACCTCTATGCCGCAGAGCCAGACAAAACAAGGACAGCAACGCTCTCCAAATATTCCATGTGCTCCTCTATACTTTCCAGCCCCCCTGCACTTAGGTGACGCTATATGACTAGTTCTGGCCAATGGGCTAAGGAGAGAAGTGAGGCAGTCCCTTCGGAGCCAAAGTATAAAAGAACAGGTGTGAGTTCTCTGTAAGCTTTCTTCTATCACGACAACTCCAGATGGTGGTGCCTCCCTCAGCCTGGATAACAGAGTGACCACGTGGAGCAGAGCCTGCCCACCACATGCACCTGACTCTACTCTGGACAGGTGGTGTGAGTGAGAAATAAGCCTTTGTTGTGTCAATCCACTGAGATTTCAGAGTTAATCTGTTATGACAACATAACCTAAACTATTTTTTAAAGCAGGACATCAACTACTGGTAGAACAAGAGACAATTTTAGGTAGCCCACATGTATTACGAAACACTGAGTTCCAAAATGAACAAGTTGTTCCCTTTTTATTCTGTTGAAGTCCTGCTGCCCTTGAGGAGAGATCCGAGTTTGCTGCCACTCTGTCTTTACAACTATTTTTTAACAAAGTGAGGGCAGTCTCAGGATCAACATTTTGTAAGAACAGAATCTGGCTTAGAATTTAATTAATAAGATTGTTTTGTGTTTCACTGTATTTTTAAGGTTACTTTCTATTTTTGGCAAATGATACTGGTTTTCCACTTAGGGAACTAATAAGGTTTATTTGAAAAATAAATTAACTGAGTATATACAAGTTTATTTTTTCAAATGTATTTAATAAATAATAGCGTAGAATACAGCAAAAAAGTCGTGGAGACAGTACATGACTGAATAATAGAAATAAAGTGCACAATAAATGTAATGTGCTTGAATCATCCCGAAACCATCTCCCCACGCCGCCCCCCAGTCCATGGAAAGACTGTCTTCCATGAAACCAGTCCCTGGTGCCAAAAAGGCTGGGGACCACTGATGTAGACCTTTCCTACTTTCCTGCACTTTTCCTCTTCTTTTTTTTTTTTTTTTTTGGCTGCACCATGTGGATTGCGGGATCTTAGTTCCCTGACCAGGGATCGAGCCCGTGCCCCCTGCAGTGGAAGTGTGGAGTCTTAACCACTGTACCGCCAGGGAAATCCCCCTGAACTTTTGCTGTCTGTGAACTCCTTAAGGTCTGGGGGCCCTTATTCTGGTTCCAGGGGACTAGGTAGTTGGGACATTTCTAATTCAGTCTTAATTAGCATCCCTGAGGACTGGAATGCGAGGCGTAAAAACATCATTGAAATGCCTGTTTCCCTCAGCAAGGCAGGGCAACTCTAGACTAAAAACAAGGCTCTGCTGGAAGAGCTGAAGTTTCCCCATTTCCGAGAGATGTTTCTTCCCTTTGGGTAGAGGTGGGTGGTCTAATACCCATCCCATCTCCCTAGATATGTCCCACAGTTATTCTGAAAGATAATTGTTCCTAACATTGATAAATACAGACTCGTAACTCATACAGCTCATCGGAAAGTCCCTATTGTTAACACCAAAAAAGATATCACTGAGGCATATTTTCAAACACTAGTCTCACACAAAGGAAAGGAAAATATATCACGCTATCACTGAGGATGCAGGAGATAACATAAGATTACAAGAAGTAACAGTTCAAACGTGAAGGAGGGCTTCCCTGGTGGCGCAGTGGTTGAGAGTCCACCTGCCGATGCAGGGGACACGGGTTGGTGCCCTGGTCCGGGAAGATCCCACATGCCACGGAGCGGCTAGGCCCGTGAGCCACGGCCGCTGAGCCTGCGCGTCCGGAGCCTGCGCGTCCGGAGCCTGTGCTCCGCAACGGGAGAGGCCACAACAGTGAGAGGCCCGCGTACCGCAAAAAAAAAACCATGAAGGAAACAAGATACCATTCTCCACCCACTAAATCAGTAAAGATTTAAAGGTGCATCCTCTTTGGTGCTAACTAAGGTGTAGTGAGACCAGCTCTCTGATACTGCAGGTGGGGGTGTATGTTGTACCACCTTCTGGAAAACAATCTGGCAACATACACACCATGAGCCTGAAAATGATTCATAATTTCTGACCATAAGAAAATAATCATTGAATCAAACAAAGGTGATCTAAAACAGTTTATAATGGTATTATTTATTTTGGTTAAAAACTACAAACAATATAAACATCTAGAAATTGCAAATGATGAGATATGTTTCAGCCACCAGATGGAATGCTATACTGCTTAACGAAAATCACATCTTGAAGGCTATTTAATAACACTAGAAAATGACCTCAATAAAGTGAAAATTGAACCAAAATTATATATTTTTTATGATCTCTATATTTCTTAGAAAGTATATGCACAGAAAAGACCAGGAATAAAATGCATCAAAATGTTAACATTGCTTATCTCTGGGCTATGGAATTATAGGTGATAAATTTAATTTTTATACTTCTCTGAATTATTCATGTTTTCTACAATGAGCATATTATTTTTATTAATCACTGGAAAAGGTTGTTTTGTTGGCTTTTGTCAATCCCCAAAGTAAGAGTACTGAATGAACAATCAAAAATGAACAAGAGGGCTTCCCTGGTGGCGCAGTGGTTGAGAGTCCGCCTGCCGACGCAGGGGACACGGG